GCATGCTTCTTACATTTAAATGCTAACATTTTATGTCATTCTTTATGTTACTTAAGGTCACCCAGGAGGCTGTTTACCTTGTGGAGTCATTAACTTTTTGTGCAATGATAAGTTTTTGTTGATTTCAACTGAGTATTACAGAAAGAAAAATTATTATTCTGATGCATCACACATGTACATATCATGGAAATTTGTGTGGTTTTGTGTAGCCATTTGTATGGTATTGTGTAGCACTGTGCTTTTAGGTTCTGTGGACCATTTAAATAATTTTAATACAATAAACAAGTGATTACAGTATACAATGGAGAAGGACCAGGGGATACTGTCTGAGCTCTGCTGATGAAACACATCCTATGAGTATTTGTTTTCAGTGACAGAGCGCTGAAGTCCTTCTCAATCTAATTATAGAGCTTTACTCTTTGTCTTCCTAGATGCAGTTGCCTTTGGACCAAAAGTGGCTGAAATTTATCACAAGCTGTCTTTCCCAATTATTACAATATGAATCCTCATAACGGCATTATATGAGAACTGATGTCTCCACCAAGCCATAACATATTTACCTTCCTGTATTGTGTAAGACTGGTGCTGAAAGATGTTGTAAATGTGTAAGGCACATATGATATATAATCTCTTTCCTAGTAACAGCAGGGAAAGAGGTGTGCAATAGTTCATATGAAATTAGAGAGCTTTAAGACTGGTCTCTCGTTCAAGGAACCTCTTTCTTCCGATTGGCCAACAGAGCCGCTGGGCAAGGGGATTGGAGCATGGAGTGGGGTTTCTTGTTACTATCCTCAGGATATTCCAGGAAAGTAATATGAACAATGTACAAAACTACACTCTCTAGTTTTAACAAGTATACTTAACTGATGGTCCCTTCTCACCCCTAGATGCCAAGCAAACTCTATGCTTATCGTGATTGGTTACAGCTGTGGAGATGGGCCTGTCTCCTGTAACTGTCACTCCCCAAAACATGCGCGCTGTCCCCCTGTCTCTCAGTAACCGAGGGTACTCGACGTAGACAGCTTCTGCAAAAGAACCAAGGATTGGACAGAATCAAGGATACGTCACCTGTGCTGCTTCAGAATTGACTTAATTCATGGAATGCACTGAAAGCGTCCTGAGGCATCTTACATAAGAACACGAGTCATTTAATAATTAAATACTAAATTAGGACAACCTAAGCATGAAGTGCAGCACTTAATTCGAGGAAATGTAAAAGTAATACATAACCATTGTAACTTGCATAAAGCATAGGCAAGTAATGAAAGTTATTGTGTGGTTAAGAATCACAGGATTGGGTAGGACAGAGAGAGTAAAGGAATGGAATTGTTCTATGTAAATTATCTATCCATCCAACCATCCTCTATAACTGCTTGTCCTATACAGGGATACAGTTGTCCAGAGCTTATCAATCCACACTAGGGGTGCATGGTAGGAAATAAGCCAGGATGGGCTCCAATCCATCACGGGGCGCACACACACACACACACACACACACACCCCTACAGATGATTTGGTAACTCCAGTTCACCTCAGCATGTTTTTGAGCCATGGAGGGAAACCAAAGTACCCAGAGGAGACCCCACAATGTCAGGGAGACAACATGCAAACTCCACACACAGAGCCACGGTGGAGACTCGAACCCTGGTCCCAGAGGTGTGAAGCAACAGTACTCACCACTCCACTACCCCCTTATGTAAATTAATATTTACAAATTTTATGACTGGAACTGGAACGCACCATTTCAGAACATTATTAATAATAAAAATTGATAGTTTATTGATCCCTGTGGGGAAATTGTCTTTATGCCTCCCTTGTATTATATATTTATTTTAATTATTTATATTTATTTGTATTATATATTTGTTGACTGTGGATGTTTGCCATTATTGCTGTCATTCTGTGTAGTTTTTTTGTGGGCTTAACGTACTGTATGTGTTTTATAATCAATAAACTCATCTCTGTGATCACTTGACTTGCCCTCTGTCAGAACACAACATATTGAATCCACCAGTTGCCCAGGTAACTCACTGCGACATCCTCACTAAGCAATGCTTAGATTCTTCTTGTTACTCTCCATTTTTCCAACCTGTTTCCCTCTTCGGTTGCTGTCTGATGGTGGGAAAATTGTCAGATTGCCCCGTTCAGTTGTCATCAGCTATCACCATTTTTTTCTTCCTTCATCTGAAATGTGTTCTCATCCAAGCTTCTGTCAGCACAGTTTATTGTCTGGGATTGATTGTTAGAGCATGAGATGGAGAAGATGTAGATCTATGAGAGGCAGATGGCAAAATTTCCCAAGAAAATGAAACATTGCCCAGTGTTTTACTTTGGGTGTATATACCGCCAGTCAAAAGTTTTTGCACCCACTGAGATTTTCTACATTTACTGTTGTTCACTTAACATTTACTAAAAATACACTCATTCTTTGCTAACAAATGCATTTACAGTATATTCACCATTTTAGTACCTTTATTAACAAAAAAAATCATACCTTGTTTCATCAAAGTAACCTCTAACAGTTATAACAGCAGAGAAAATTTGAGGCATTCTTCCTGCAAAGCACACTAAATACTGCTTTGTTTTGTGGGGTGATACAATTAACTGTTCATTCAAAGTTAAAGGACAGCCTAGAATTTGATTATGCCATCACCACACAACCAGTTACTAGGATGCCAGACATGCACTGTTACATACTCTTTTCACGTTATAAAGGAAACTTGTTTTATTTTACTTCTATTTTCATTTTCATTTATAGTTTCCAGCTTCCCAAATGTTTAACAGGAATAAAACATCTGCAGTTTATGAAATAAATGGAAAAGTGTGTGTGTGTGTGTGTGTGTGTGTATCAATCTCTACCTATTGCTGTTGCTGTTATTGTTATTGAACAGTCTATTAACCAGTGAAACGGATTGTGCAATCTAGGTGAGTTAAAAAAAATAATAATGTGAGAAACTATTACCTTCCAAAGTGTCCACTGTGTGTTGTCCTGTGTGTCCTACCCTGACCCTGTATTAGATAAGACAAGTGGTTATTGAAAATGGGCTTATCCTGTCCAGCGAGATTCAGCCCCGCCCCCTACGGTGAGTTGAATGGTTAAAAATACTCTACCCCCAGCCCAGGTTCCACCCCCACCAGCCTGTGTCTCTGGGCTCAGACCGATTGCTGTATTGTTGTTTGCTACACGGTTTTTAAAGTAACTGTATTTTGCCAATAAATCATTATCATTTAAATTAAGGTTTCACCACACTCCGTCTGATCAACCTGCCCTAATTTCTGTGTATTTCGCTCACAGAAAAGGCGGGGAACACTTAGCGGGCACGATCTGATGGAGAAATAATTATTTTTGTGAACCCCCAAACAACATTGTGAATTATTCCCGCATAATTCATTACTGCTGGAGATATTAGACCGCTAATTGATATGCATATTCAAAAGAAAGACGAGCACACTGTTCTTGCTCTTAAAGCAAAAAAGGGAAAGGAAGTCACTATTAAACAAAGGAATAGCCGAGAAAACGTGCTTATTTGTGCTATTCACTTAAATGTTTCACTTAATTCTTTGTGTTTTGCTCCCACAAATATGAGCGGAAATAGGAGGAGAACTTTAATTAATAATGCAGCAAAGTGCATTAGGCCACGCCTGTCACATTTGTATTACATAGCATTATTACTTTGTTTTCTGGGGGGTAATTTGTAACCTAACTGCGTCGAGTTTGTTGGAATACTGGATATTGGAAAATATTGGCTCTTCACAACTGCTTTGCTAATATTCATTTGAAAATTAGTGAATACGTTATTATATGATTACACCTACGGTAGCAGACTCTGGTAGAGTCCGGGGAGAGCCGAGCTTCGCCTCCTTATGTCCGAATCGCATCTTGCCAGAGTTAACCTTTTTTTCTTACTGTCCCAGAATTTCGTAAAACATTCAAAGTGAACGGTTTGATAAAAATGTTTAGTTTTGCGCTAAAATCACATTTTCATCAATTTTAATGTTAATTTTCATTAGTATCTCTGACCAGACATCATTTCTGTAGTGCACACACATCCAGTCTGTAGTGCATACACATCCAGTGCTCTAGTGCATATACACATCCAGGGGACTCTGTCCCCTGTTTTTGTATTTTGAGTTATTTCACTTACCGGTCTGTTGCCAAAGCTTAATTTAGGCCTACTATGGAGACTCTTCTAGAGGCATGGCGTGTTTGAGCAACAATCCGTGAATAAGTTGATACTTTAATGCATTACAAATGAATAAGCAAGAATATTACTTGTAGTGATGAGCCATTTAAACGAATTTTTACATTTTATTTACATGTTATGTTTAAAAAAATTGCAGGATGCGTAGGCTACAATATCCGTATCAAATATAAATAACTTTTTGATCCCATTTTTACTTTATTTTGTAGGCCTATTGATTTAAAGTGGTAACACAACAAGGAAAGTACTGCACTTCTAGGACTGTGATCATAAATACACATGATAACTAATAAACTGATGTACACAATGACTGATTTAGTTTTTGTTGTAGAATATTTTAAATTATGAGCTAAACGTGATTCCATCCTGTTTCATCGAGCTGTGATGATGTCATTTGGGACATATCAGGAATGCTCTGAATGCGGTTCATTTAAACGCAGGCTATTTTTAATCACCGCCCTTAGTAACTTGAAATTCAGACACGGCTCACTGTTTTAATGAACATGTGAACATGATAATGATCATGAACGGAAATACTGATAAATATCTTTTTTATGATCGTATTTATGAGATTTTTATGTTCTGTTCCATTAAGCTATTATGCTATTGTTTCCAAGTGATGCCAGTCTGATGGTGAAAACTATTGTTATCAACTAATTTCGCAGAGACAAGTGAGGTATTGAAAGAGGGACCCATTAAACTAGATAAAGTAGCTCGTGCTCGTGGTCGACTAATGCCATCCCCGTCTCATGTAGCCTATGGTAATTGGGTGAGACGGCTGATTGGATGAAGCTACTGAAGACGCGAATCTTTCTCTCCTCTGCATCTGTTTGCGAAAGAAGAAAAAACGCCAAAGGGGGGGGGGGGTCTGTTTCATTCAGACTCCAGGAGATCCGAAAATGCATAGGCAGCTGTCATTAAACACGCGTAAAAGCTCCCCTAACGGAAGTGACTCCTAACTGCACGTCAACACTTGCGGATTTCTTCAAAGCATTAGTAAAGGTCCTCGTCTGATATAGCGTCTTTCTCATGAAGTCAGGTGTTACTTAGTAAACCTTGTGTAATATATGGGAAGATGCAACTTTAGTATGTTATGAGAAGACACCTTATGAACTTCCCCGTGTTTATCGGAAATATTTTGCTTTTTTCCCGCAAGTTGGCAAATCAGACTGGGAGATAGGGAAATGCGATGGAAAGGTTCGGGTGTCGAGGCGTGTGGGTATCGGAGTCAGTGGGTGTGATCGCTTCGCACATGCCGTGAAGCGCTGGGAAACTGCGTGCCTCTTATTAACCAGCGGGCGCTTTGCTGCTGCGGCTCGGCTCTTTGACGCTGAATCCTCTCCCGCACTTACCGGATAGCTTAGACTCCATCGAGGTAAGTTACGCCACATTTTGTATATATTCGATCTTTTTACATTATACGCAATTATTAATTAAGGTCTGTCCTTTTTACAGACTAACAAACGTAGTGGTGCTTATCTTTTAATAATTCCTTTAGATGCTTTTTTTCCTAGGAAGTATTTAATTATAGTGAATATTACCCTACGCGCTCATAATAATACGACTTACATGATCACTTGAAGCATTACAGGATAGTAGTGTAACTTAAAAAGAATTACAAAGCCCACTTTGAATGTTTTTGTTTGAAGTTAAACGCGTAGCAGGTACTTCGGAATGCTATATTAAACTGTTTGGAGTAGCCGATTCAACAGGTATTACTGGTCAAGAAACCAGTGATGTATTGCATTGTTATTCTGCAATGTTTTTTGTCGTGCAGATTTATCTATAGTTGCACCGTGTCATTTTGTTTTTGGATTATGTGCTCACTTTTCAAAATTACTCTAAGCGGTTAATTGTGCTTGATTACACGCCTGTCTGATATAAAACAAACATATAGTATTTCTGAACGAGTCTACATTTCGGTGCAATGCAAGGCGATCCAACAGCGCGACTCGTACTGTAAGCTTAAGTACTCTTTGATTGTCACTTCCTATGAAACGTAAAAGCCGATGTTAAAGCCTGTTTGTATAGCCTATCTTTAATCAGAATATGTAACGGTGACACAGGTGTGTATTTACCCCCCGGCTCCTCCCCCCTTATTCAGAAGGAAAATCATGGAAGTGCATGGAAGGTGTATGTATGTGTGTGTTTCTGTGTGTGTGTATATATGTTTCTGTGTCTCTGTGTGTATAATATATACAGTGCCATTGCTGGGTGTAAGACCTTTACAGATCAATGTAACTATTTCTATACTGTTATTACTTATAGAATCCTAATTTATCAACCATGCTGAGTTTCAGATCGTCTTGTAAATGCAAGGGACCAATTGTATTTCTGATGCAGTGTTTGTATAGAAAAGGTGTCCTTGGTGGAGAAAGGGTTTCTAAAGATGTACCTCATTGGTATAGTGTGATCAAAACCATTCACAATACAGCTGAATGTCTCTCACAGCACCATCAGATTCCCCCGCAGCACAGTATATATTCTGAAATGAAGTATTTATTCAGCAGCAGCTGCTACACATAATCCAACTCAAGGGCAAGATGTGAGCTGATATATTGCACATACGGACAAGCCAATTTGGCATTATCTCTGTTTAGAGATACGCACTTGAGGTGAATCACCATACCTCAAAAAAAAAAAAGACTAAAAAGGAACTTCTGTTCCTTTCATCTTAAGATTTAGTATCTATAGACTGCATACTGTGTGTATACGTGTGTGTGTGTGTGTGTGTGTGTGTGCAAATAGATGCAGTTGTGCAAATTATGCAACATCTGCATATTGCCACTACATCTAATGTCCAAAGGACCTGCAAAAGGAATTCCTGGTGATCTGCCCATCAAAATTATTAATCTTTCGGAGCATATCACCTACATAATGACATTTACATTTAAAGTGAGGGTTTGTTTGATGGTATTTAAGTCCTCATTTTCCAGTAAATGAGAAGTTTGAGTATTGCAGAATAGATGACATCTCACTGGGAACTGTATGTGACTGCCACCTGCCACCTGCATCTTGCACAACTGGAAACAAAAGGCATGTGTTAATGCTATTATGCATACAACATAAATCAGTATCTAATATAAATTGTCATGACCAAAGTAAAGAGAAATCATATCAAGTTCAAGAATAGACTGGCGCCCTGTTCAGAGTCTGTCCCAGCCTATTGACCTATGATGCTTTAAATAGGCCCTACAACTGCCCACCCCCCCCAACCCTGCCAAGGAAAATTGTTAGAAGATGGATGATTGGAAGTTCAGGTGGAATCCCCTTAATCAAAAAAAAATTAATTCTCGGCAGTCACCATGAGTGGATCAAATTTCACATGGTCACTTTAGACATGCTCAGAGTTTAATCAGTGTTTACGTTATAAGGTCTGACAGATGCAGTTGAAAGATTTAATTAAACATTAGGTTTATATTGACATTTAAATTAGGTACACAAAAAAACAGCAGCACTTTGTTCCATATAATGGAATGACTTTGGAGTGTAAAAGACTGCTTCATTGCATTTTATTTTGGATAAAATTTTGAACAGTAGAACTAACTACCTGCTCTTATTCACTGTCCAATGTTTTAACTAATACAAGTGCTCCTCTACTTACGAACTTTCAGACATACGAACGAAGAGGACTGTAAGTCCAAATTGTGTTCCTTGGGCTCCCATTTCCTGTCCGCAACATCAATTTTTTTTTCTGCGTGCCAATTCCGGGTAGTACGACTTCAGCCCGCTACTCCCACCATGTAGCAGCGTAGCGTGCGGACTCCCAGCATCCTAGTTCTTTGTACTTGCGTATACCCTTAAAATGATGTTGAATAACGACTTACGAACAATTCAAGATACGAACGGCCGTTCAGAACGTATCTCATTCGTAAGTAGAGGAGCGTCTGTATTGCCATACAGATGATATGGCACTTAAACTGCGACCCCTATGCATTGCGCGGCTGGTGGCCCCTTGACTGGGTTGGTGTCCTTCTCAGTATGCTTTTGAAGAGTTCAGCAAACAAGAAAAAAAAAAAAACATCCTTAAGGATTTAATCGGCACAAGATTCTTGTAGAACATTCCCATTCTGACGCTTTCAGGGAAAGTGACACAAGTCATCACTCTCTTATGCCATCAGAGTGCTAGTGAAGAAATGTTTTCAAGTGGATTATATCGAGGAGCATAAATGTTGTCATGTAACAGTGACAGTTCTAGTCGGGAAGGTTAGATCTGTTTTCTGGACATATAAGAAAGGCTTTGTGCAAAATTAATTAAATAGGATTACTTCTGTATTATGTATGATTCCAGGTTGTGTCTGGAGGGAGGCAATTTAATAAAATGGTTGCAAGGTACTCTTAATACAAATGGCTTAATACTTAATTATGTACACTAGAAGAAAACTTACAGAGGACTTAGAGGACATTCTGTTTTTGCTCAGATTTCCATTAAGTCCCGTTGTTCCTTAAAAAGGACAATTTGATCAACATGGTTCTGACCTTGCCAACTTCCAGCGCCTGCCAAATCAAAATTTTATTCAATATTAATTTTTAAGTGGATCCTCGCTGGATTTGAGATGGATATGAGATGACGATTCATCACTTAATATATTTAACATTGAAAGTCTAGTCTCTGACCTCCAAAATGACTAAATGTGTTTAGGTCAATTTCAAGTTCAAATTTCTTATTTACAAATGAACCGTATATACAGTATATGCTGTGTATGTGCCTGACATCTGTGTCGCTCATGGAGAGCAAGACGGGGTAGGCGAAAAGAGAATTTCCCCCACGGGGATTAATAAAGTATCACTAAATTACAGCACTCCCTGTTTTACAAAGTACAATAATGTATATTTTTGTATATAATGTATATTTTCCAGAAGAGCGTCTTCACGAAACTTTGGATCCTGCCACTTGCCAATCACGGGACACCATGTGAGGATTCCACAGCGAGCGTCTGGATGGAGCCAACATCAGGACATCTCTTAACTGACAATTACGTAAAGGACACTGCGGAAAACCAGACTGGGGCTGGAGCACGGATTCATCCCGGATCGCTCAACCTTCATGTGAACAATGCACTGTTGGGCATTTTCCTCGGAACGGTGTCCCTGTTGACAGTAGTCATGAACGTCCTTGTGCTTTACGCTGTGAAGAAGGAGCGGACGTTGCACACCGTGGGGAACCTGTACATCGTGAGCCTTTCTGTGGCCGACCTCATTGTCGGCGCCACTGTCATGCCACTCAACTTGATCTACCTGTTGGAGGACAAGTGGAGACTCGGCCACATAATCTGCCAGTTCTGGCTGGTCATGGATTACGTCGCCAGCACCGCCTCCATCTTCAGCCTGTTCATTCTGTGTTTGGACCGGTACCGCTCCGTCCTCCAGCCACTCCAGTACCTGCAGTACCGTACCAGAGGCAGAGCCATTCTGATGATCGCTGGAGCATGGCTTCTATCCATGACTTGGATTATCCCCATTCTGGGTTGGCGGTTCTTCTCTGACTCTAACCCGAAACCAGAGACAGAGAATAAATGCGATACGGACTTCCGCTTCGTCACCTGGTTCAAAGTTTTGACAGCCATTTTGAATTTTTATGTTCCGTCTTTGCTGATGCTCTGGTTTTACATAAGGATCTATATGGTGGTAAGGCAACATTACAAACAGAGGCAATGCATTCAGAAACTAAAGGATTCAATAAAGAGACACGGGATTAAACAAAAGCGTAAACTCTCAAGGAAGAGTCTCAAGTTTAACCCCGCCAAAACTGAACAAAGTACCCCACCGGATTATTCCAATGTTGACGATCTGCTAGATCAGTATAGCTTAGGTCAGCCATGCTATTCAAAGGACATGGATGGTGATGCTAAGACAGATGAAGCCTGGTCAGAGAAAAAGATCAATAAATGTTGCTATCAGACGTCACTATTTACTGTTCCAAAGCACTTTAAAAAATCTGTAAAAGATACAGAAAAACATGTCCCTTCCTCTTCCTGTCTTGCGGAAGACCAAGGAGCTGAAACACCACTGAGGCTGTCCTCTCTGCCCCTTGGCATTTTGCAGTCGGACGATGACAAGGTCCCAAAAATGTTTGTGTCTGTCAATGACTGCAACCTGTCGTCTCCAAACTCTGTGTCTGGGGTTTGCGAGATAACCCACATGTCTGATGTGCAGAGGTATGCTGCCGTCGTTTGCCACGGTGATTTCCACCACCCTGTGGCCTCTCCCTGGCCTCCGGGGACTGACCTGAAGTTGGACTCGACAAACGTGCAAACCCTGAAGCAGTCATGGCAGAAGTTCTGCGCCCAGTCGAAACAGTGCATTCAGAACCTGCGAGCCTACAAGGAACGCAAGGCGGCCAAGCAGCTTGGCTTCATCATTGCCGCCTTCCTGGTGTGCTGGATCCCCTACTTCGTCACTTTCATGGTGATGGCCTTCTGCAAGACGTGTGTCCACCATGACCTCCACATGTTCACTATCTGGCTCGGCTACTTCAACTCCACCCTGAACCCATTCATCTACCCGCTCTGCAATGAGAATTTCAAGCGGGTTTTTAAAAGTTTACTTCACATGCACTAGTGGAGACCTTCAAAATGTGCATTCATAATTGATATGTTCATTCCAGGTTCCTGGTGACTTTCTTCCTCATAAAATGTAATTGCTTTGTGTTTTCAAGTGTTCAATTGTACTCTAAACTGATAATAAATATGTATTACAGCGTGGAACCATGAGATATTTGATATTATCAATTCATCCCTTCTTCTGAAACTGCAGACTTAATTAGACCAAATTGTTTTATATTTACTGAAGAGTCTGTGAGTCCTGATGTTGCCTCACACATACAGCATTGTTATAGCTTTGAACCTAGTATATATTGACTTTTTGTTTCCTCCCATACTCAGAAGAGAAGTAAATTACTGTTGTTGAGTATCTGTAAGAATCATGTCATAGCCTGACCTAGACCTTAACCTCATTGAATGTCTTTGAGATGTGCTAAGAAAGACTTTACAGGGTGGCTCAACTTACCTATTATCAACACAAGATATTGATAAGAAATGAATGCAAATCTGGATGAAAAAAAATGTCTGTGGTTCAACCTCAAATCACAACATCCCTAAGCTGATGAGCACTTACTCAAAAATGATGGATCGATGAATGAACATTTTATGCAGTGCCTGGCCAAAAAAAAGTTGCCGTTTGAATTTAAATCAGCAAGTACTTAAGAGCCAATGGCTGGATCATTATTACAGCTCAACAATGTTATACCTGATAAAGTAAAGTCAGCTGAGTTCCTGAATCTAATAAATGGCCAGGTTATCCCATCAATGGATTTTTCCTTTCCAAATGGTACGGGCATTTTCCTGGACGATAATGCCAAGTTTAGTCAGGCTCGAATTGTCAAAGAGTGGGTCGGGGAGCATGAGGAACCTTTTTCACTCGTGAATTGGCCACTGCAGAGTCTTGACCTAGATCTAGACCTTAACCTGAATGAAAGTCTTTGAGATGACACTCAACGGGGTGGTTCAACTTACCTATTATCAATACAAGATCTTGATGAGAAATTAATGTAAATCTGGATGAAAAAAAATGTTGAGATGTTGCATAAGCACGTGGAAACAATTCATTGACAAATGTGCACCACAATCAAAGCTAAAGGTGGTCCAACGAAATATTAAAGTCATTAAGGCCAGCCAGTGTATAATTTTATATTCAGCTGGATCAGAATATCTGACCAAACATTTTTAATCATCTTGTTTTGATCCCAAATTGTTTTTCTCCAAAACAGTATCTGTAGTCAGTTGGATCATTTCCAAAGTCGTTAGTTCTGCTCAATTTCCACTTGTTAACTAACTTGACCATTTGGAGTGTTACTTGATTAGTAACTACTTCTGTATTCACATATCAAAAATGAAAAGGAATGGTTTATATAGTTTTTCAAAGTCTTTATTGTTTGCTTGACTTTTGGTTTTTCATCTTTTAAGCAATGGTGATGGCACCATAATCACAGTAATTAACTGTTGGATAATTTATAGAGAGGTCTTGTTTAATGCACAAAAAATACATAAATGCAACACTGTTTCCAAAAAAGTTGAGACACTGCATAAAATGTAAATGAAAATAGAATGCACTGATTAACAAATCGTATAAACCTGTACTTAAATGAAAATAGAACAAAGACAACAAATCAAATATTGAAACTGAGATTTTATTTTTTTTTATGACGCATGCTAACTTTGATTTTGATACCAGCAACACATTTTTTTAAAGTTTGGACAGGGGAATGTTTACCACTGTGATTCATGGCCTTTTCTTTTAACAATGTTCTGTTAACATTTGGGAACTGAGGACACCAGTTGCTGGTGTTTTGAAAGTGAAATGTTGTCTCATTCCTTCCTGATATAGGACTTCAACTGCTCAGTGGTTCAGGGTCTCCTTTTTCATATTTTTCTTTACATGATGCGTTAAATGTTTTCAATAGGTGACAGATATGGACTGCAAACAGGGCAATCTATCACCCAGACTCTTCTATTACTGAGCCATGCTGTTGTAATATTCGCAGAGTGCGGTTTGGCATTGTCTTGCTGCAATATACAAAGCCTTCTGTTAAAAGGCGTTGTCTGGTTTTTGAGCTGTCTGCTGATAACAAGCTGAATGGTCCCTCTCCCCTTTAGCCAGGAGGACGCAGTGTCTATGATTTACAAAAATAATTTGAAATTTTGATTTGTCAGACCACAGGACTCTTTTCCAATTTGCCTCAGTCCATCTTAAATGACTAAGGGCTCAGAGAAGTCAGAATCATGTTTAGATTTGGTTTCTTCTTTGTATGGTAGAGTTTCATCCCGCATTTGCGGATGCAGTGATGAACTGAGTTCACAGACAGTGGTTCTCTGAAGTGTTCCTGAACCCACACAGTGATTTCCACTATAGAATCCCGTCTGTTTTTAATGCAGTGCTGCCTGAGGACCTGAAGATCACGGCTATCCAATATTTGTCATCAGCCTTGTCCCTTGCATACAGATTTCTCTAGATTTTCTGAATCTTTTAATGATATTTTGTACTGTAGATGATTAAATTCCCATATAATATTACGTAATATTACGTTGAGGAACATTACTCTTAAATTGTTGCACTGCTGACCCACGCAGTCTTTCACAGAGTGCTGAACCTCTCCCCATCTTCACTGCACAGAGTGCTGAACCTCTCCCCATCTTCACTGCACAGAGTGCTGAACCTCTCCCCATCTTCACTGCACAGAGACTCTGCCTCTCTGGGAGGCTCTTTTTATACCCAATGATCTTACTGACCTGTTGCCAGTTAACCAATGTTGTCTTTGTTCTATGTTCAGTTAAATATGGGTTTAAATGATTTGCAAATCATTGCGTTCTGTTATTTACATTTTACACAGTGCTCTAACTTTTTTGGAAAGGGGGTTGTAATTTACATGCAGTGATAACTGAGACACTCTTTAGGACACAGAGCATGTTAATTATAATAAAGATCATATTAATATACCATTTATAATTAAGTCACATTTCTTTATACTGTGTAAATATTGTCATTCACAAGTATTAGACATTTATTGTGGCAAAGACGGATGGATGTGTATTCTCAGCTATTCATTTGGAAATCCATTGAAGTCAAAAGTCTGTCTTTTAAAAATAATTTACTTGTGTGCTTATAAAGATTTTAAAAATAGTTTTCCACTGCTAGCAATAACACTTAGTTTTGCATATAATCTTTATGGGTGTCTTGAACGTTATTAATGAGCAAATATTCTTCCCTGTAAGTGGAGCACTGTTTGTTATACAAAACATTATCATAATTTACTGCTGATGTCCAGTGAAAAAAGACCTGTTATTTTGCACGTTTTTTTAACCTGTGGTGAACTGTTAAACTTCTAAATGCCACTTGAGATAAAGGTCTAAACACGTGATAACAAATCCGGAGGGAAAAACTTCCCAGCTGGAGAAGTAAGAACTAAATCCTTGTTTGGTAATAAAAGAGGGAAATTTATCTGACAGATGATGGAGAAAGAGCATGAGTCAAAAGTAAGCATAAAGGAACTGACATCAACTGCTTATGTATCTTAAGTAAAATAAGCACAAGGCCTAATTATGATGGCAAAAAGCAGAGCTCATGGGTAACAAGCTTCCTGAAATCTGTTGCGCATGTTTGCATTTTTGAATATGCAAACCTTAACAGAGATGCATACTAATATACACAGCACATACATAAGAAAAGCACCTAAAACTGCCATCATGACCTATTAAGTGTAACATGAAGATTAAAACATAGGCCTACTATCTGAGCACATGCTATTCCCTTGGCTATTACTGCATTCTTTACTTCAGGGAATCTAATGATTTATGCTTGCACAATAAGTGCCTGTCATTTCCTTTATTTTCATAAAACCATCATTCTTTTGTCAACTCTGTCATTAAATCCGGCTATACAAGTTTGCCGAATAATTGAAGACTGAAAGTTATAAATCACAAAACGGAATGTTTTCTCTGACATAGGGTAAAATGACATATGCACATAAAGTTCACATTATGCACGTGCATATAACCTCACCTAAAGGATTATTAGGAACACCATACTAATACAGTGTTTGACCCCCTTTCTCCTTCAGAACTGCCTTAAGTCTATGTGGCATTGATTCAACAAGGTGCTGAAAGCATTCTTTAGAAATGTTGGCCCATATTGATAGGATAGCATCTTGCAGTTGATGGAGATTTGT